AATGACTTCTCCCCCATAACCCATGTTGCCTGCGGGCTCACCACCATTTACTGTTTTTCCGTATTCCTGATGATAGCTGTTCAGAGCGGGATGAGATGGAATTTCAGTGTAGCTTTGATTTGGATTTCTATTATCTCCTTGGTTAGATTGATCTTTTAAGTTTCTTTTAAAGATGTTTTGAATGGAATTATTTTCCTGATTTCTATCTCAGCTAGTCCAATATTGGCATACAGAAAAGCTATTAATTGGGCCAGAGATGTAGCTCAGCAGCACAGCGCCTGCCTGGCAAGCATGAGGCCCTAAGTTCAATTCCTGGTACCAAAAATAATAATAAAAAAAATTCCCTTAAAAACAACTCTTGAGAGGCCGAGAATTTAGCTCAGCTGTGTAAGTGACTGCCTGGTAGACGCAAGGTCAGGAGTTTGATCCCCAGCACCAAAAAGAAAAAGAAAAGAAAAGAAAAATCCAACCAAACAAAAAGCTATTGTTAAATGTTGATTTTTATATCCTGCTACTTTGCCGATTTTGTTCAGCAGCTCTAAAAGTCTTTTGGTGGAGTCTAGGATTTTCCAAGTATGGGATCATATTGTATAGATTTATATTGCATTTCTTTCTTTATCTTGCCTAATTGCTATAAGATAAAATTTCAGGTATGACACTGGAGTGGTAAATAGACATCTTAACCTTGTTCCTGATTTTAGAGAAAATACTTCACTTTCTCCCTGTTTTGAATAATGTGAGCTGTTGGTTTGTTGTACATGGCATTGACTGAGGAATGATCTCTCTCTCTCTCAGTACCCGATTTCTTTAGGCTTTTATCATGAAGGTGGTGTTGCACTTTTTTAGGGACCTTTTTTGTGTCAATTGAGTTGAAGGTGTGATTTTTAGCTTTGCTTTTATATGTGGTATATTATGTTTATTGATTTGATTATGTTAAACCATCCTTATATCCCTTGAATGAAACCAACTTGATCGTGATGCATGACCTTTTTAGTATCGTCAAATTTGGTCCAAAAGTATTTTATTAAGGATATTTGCATATGTGTTCATCAAAAATATATTCTATAGTTTTTGTTGTTGTATCATTGCCTGATTTTGGAATCATATCTTTATCGATTAAAATAGGATATTAACCAAGTTTACCTTCGGATATCTTGATGCTAATATTTTTCTCTTCCAGAAAGGAGAATGTTAAAGGGAAAAATTTTCTTCAGCCATGGTTACTTTATAATTCAGTATGTTTGTTACACAAATAACATGTTTAGGAGATATCCATGGGAACATAACCCATTTTTACACCAGAACATTTTTAATCACTTCAAAAAGAAGCTCAAGATTCATTAGCAGCTGTCTCTTTCCTCCTTTCCCAACCCCTGGCAGCCACTAATCCTTGTCTGTGGATTTGCTTTCAAGGTTTACCTGTGTGGCACCATGTATCCTGTTTTCTGGCTGAATAATATTTCATTGTATGGATATATCACATATCCATACAATGGATTCTAAGTTAATGGACTCTTAGCTGCTGTAAATGATACAGCTGTGAACATTCATGAGCAAGCTTTCATGTGAACATGTTTTCAGTTGTGTTCCCACTATGTCTTGTGTTTAGATGTCCCCCCAAAGCCTCGTGCAGTCAGAGGTGGGGCTTTTCAGAGGTGGCTGGTATAAAGTGTGTAATGCGTGGGATTTAAGGGCTGACTAGGATTAAAGGTGTGAGTGCTACCCACCCTAGGGTAGGTAGCCTGAATAAGATATAAAGGACAGAAAGAGGCTCATCTCATCAGTCCCTTGCTTGGTTTGCTGTCTTATGCCTGCCTTGAACTGTTTCTCTTCTGACATGCCCCTCTGCCATGCCACCCTGCCTTGGAGCCAACTGATGATGGACCAAAACCTCTACAAACTGAGCCGGAACAAACTGTTCCTTCTTTAACTTTGGGTGTCAGGTATTTTGTCTCAGCAACAACAAAAGTAACTAAGACAGATATATACCTAGAAGTGAAATTGCTGGATTTTCTTTTTTTCTTTCTTTTTTTTTTTTTTTCGGTCTTTTTCCTTTTTATCGGTACCAGGGATCGAACTCACGACTGCCTGCTTACAAGGCAGGCACTTATGCCGCTGAGCTAAATCCCCAGCCCCCAAAATTGCTGGATTTTCATATAATTCTTTTACAGATAGTTTATTTCCAAAAAGTGGCTTGCCAACTAAACATTACTGGATTCTAGATTGCTTGTCTCTCCTTCTGGAGTTGGATTTCAGGTTCTTCTTGCCTTGAACAACGAATTGGACAAAAGGAACAAAAAGGAGTGGCAAAGTTTATTCAAGAAGTAAAATTGAAGAATGGGAGAGAAACTGATTACAGAATGGTCTTGGGCCAAATAAATAGAAAGAGGTTGAGAGTAAAGATAAAAAAAGTACACACTGCATCTGAGAATCACAGGATGGGCTAACAGAAACTCTTGTAGCCAAGCCTTGGCATGACCTTTTATGTTGTCTGAATCTCAAGGAACGATAACTTCTGCAGGTCTCACACCGCTCACACAGGCAGGCCATCCTGTTGAAAGCCTGCTGAGTTCTTGAGGGAATTCCACGTGCAGGCCTTTGGTAACTGTTTTGTGTGTATGTCTGGGATCTTGTAGTTAAAAGTCACACTTACTTCCCCAGCCAGGTTTTCTATGCCCTAGTCTCCTATCTCAATTCTGTGTTTAACTTTTTTGGGAAACCACTACTTTTCTGTAGCAGCTACACTATTTGTATTCCTGGTACATGTCTTATGTTTTAGCTGTCTCAGTGGGTATATAATCGTATCTTGTATTTGGACTTGTATTTCTCTTACAACTTAATGCTGCTGATCATTTGGCATTCACACACCACTTGCATGTTGTCTTTGTAGAAGTGTCTGTTTAAACCCTTTGCCTGTTTTTATTATTACTGTACTATTTTGGTAGCACTGAGGATGGAACCCAGGAGTACTCTACATCCTAGCCTTTTGAAATTTTTTTATTTCAGGACAGTATCTTGTTCCAGCTGGCCTCTAACTTGGCGATCCTGCCTTTATGTCCCCAGTCTCTGTGATTACAGGCCACCCATGCCTGTCTACATCCTTGCCCCTTTCTAACTAGGGTTACTGGTTTCTTAAATGTCTGTTGCCTTGTCAAGATTGTTTTGAAATATCATCTAATTAATAGTAATTTAATAGAGAACTACTCTGAAATATAAAGAATTTCTTGATGTTAGATTGAAACAATTTGCAGTTTCAGTTGCATGTGATAAAACTTTCATAGTCCTCACAAACTTTCTAATTTTTTATATTTTTTATTTTAAAACAAAAAAAGAACAAAAACAATGATACAGACCTTCAAAACAATATAACAGAAGATTAGCAAAGGTTACTATAAACTTTTTATTTCTAATAACAGAAAAAAAGCATAATCAGTGGTTTACTGAAAGAAATACGGTTGTTTACTTTCTGGTAATCATACTGTCTGATCTGGTAGGACTCACTATGTAGCCCAGGCAGCCCTCGAACTCACAGTGATCCTCCTGCTTCAGCCTCCCAAATGCTGGGAAGAATTTTCTAATTGATTGTTAATAACTTAAAGAATGAACCTAAAATCTGCAAGAATTAAGGAGTTAAGGAATTAAATACTAGGAGCTTTATGGATTTTATTAAACACCTTGGCATTATTTTTCATATGCTTGTTGTATTTGGATAAGAGTTATATTGATGCTTCTCCACAAGTATAAGGATTAATGTATTTCATTTAGTAGAGTTCTTCATTGTTTTTCCATTCTCAGTAAATACAAGAGAGTGACTTTTAAGAATAAGAATGACTTTTAAGAGCTGAGGATCTAGCTCAGCGGCAGAGCACTTGTCTGGCAAGCACAAGGCCATGAATTTGATGCCCTGTACCAAAAAAAGGAATGACTTAAGTTTTTTGGCACTGTCAGTTGATTCAGTTATAAATGTTGCCCCTTACAAGCCCCAGTCCTATCCCTTGCTCTGGTGTTGCTCAAAAATAGGTCCATTCCAGCCAGGCATGGTGGCACACACAACTAATTTCTCCTCTCGAGAGGCTAAGGTTGGTAGATCATCTTGAGTTCAGGGCCAGTTTGGGATACATAGATGAGTTTAAGGCCAATTTGGACTACACTGTAATCAATTCTGACTAAAGATCAGCTTTAGAACTACTTAGGGGAGGGTAGTAATGAAGTTTTCTCACCAGGATGGGAATTCAGATGTAGATGTAAACCTACAGGGTATAAGTATCTACAAATATAAAGTTTCTGTTAGAACTAGAATTGTATATGATTTCTATATTGAAGGGTTTTTGTTTTATTATTGTGGCTTTACCATGTTGCCTAGGCTGGTTTGGCCTTAACCTCCTGGGCTCAAGTGATTCTCTCCTGCATCAGCCTCCTGAGTAGCTAGGATTATTGGCACAGGCTGCTGCTCCTAGTTCATGGAGATTCTTTAAATACATATTTGGGACCCTGAAGTAGGAGGATGGCAAGTCTAGGCCTGCCTAAATAATGTAAGAAGACCTTGTCTCAAAATTAAAATAAATAATAGAAGCGCTCAGAGTATAGCTCCACAGTGGAGCACTTGTCAGGCGTGCGCGAGGCCATGCATTCTGTCACCATCACCCCCATGCGTTGTATTTATGTCAGATAGTGCTTGGCTTCAGAGGAAATTAACAAAAAAGGAAAGAAATCTTTATTTTAGATAGAGTGTAGTTCAATTAATCTTAACAAAACAAAAGCATTGTTTATAGGTTAATATTTTTAAAATTAAATATGATCAAGCCCAAGAGGTACCACATCAGATTGTGATATATCTAAAATAGGAACATGTCCAACAAATTACTATTCAGCATAAATGCTGATCACTAAATACCTCTTTTTGAAAGTAACTGCCTCTTTTCCTTCAATTTTGTTTTATTTTAAATAACTTACTTAAAAAAAAATCTGGTTAGGTGTGATAGCTCATATCTGTAATGCAGGTGTTCCAGAGGCTGGGGCAAGAGGATCACTGTGAGTTTGAGGCCAACCTGGGCTACACGGTGAGTTCAAGACCAGTCTTTTTTTTTTTTTTTTTTTTTTAATTTTATTTAAGGAGAAAAAGAAAACAAAAAGGGTACGTTATACAGAATTTCAGAAAAAACAAACAGTAGGAAATGACTAATTAATAGATTACACATTGTCATCTTAGAAGTAGTTCAAGTTACAAAATTAAAGCATATAAAGTGGACATTCAAACAATGAGACTGCAAACAGTTCTGTTCAATGATCCAACAAAACTCAGTAATATGGTTATCTATCTTACACACTTAAATATACATGCAGTTATATCCGTTAGAGCACTTTCTTTTCCTCTCTTTTGTACAATGACAATTAACACATTTTGGGTTTTATTACTCCCACAGTTCTTATTACTTTTTTTGAAGAGAATAAAACCAAATGTGACATAACAAAACAGAGTCAATCAAATCAAAAGGATGGACATAATACATAATGTAAAAACAAAATACAAGGTGATCAACAATAGTTACTATAATGCCTCTTGCTATCTTAAAAAGAATTGCCTATATTATCAGTTATAGTAAGATTGAACAAAACAGTAAAGAACAAAACCAATAAAACCAAAACATTGGAGACATTACAGGACTTCAAAAGAAGATAAGTAGTCAAACCAGAATGGGCGTCATAATGAATCTTATTGTCTTCACAGTTGTTGCCTATACTCTCGAACTTGGTACATCAAGCAAAACAGAATAGAGGAAAATCAGTCAAAACAAGATGGTGAGAGCAATTCAGGGTTTCAAATCAAGTTAACAGGAAATCAAAGTGGGTTACTATAATATATCCTGCTATTTTTTATTTATTTTTCCCTTAATTAAAAAGATAAAAATAAAAAAGTAAATAATAAAAAAGGAGATTGAGATAAAAGAGGGCATAACAACAAAACAGCACAGGTCAAAACATAACCATTTAAGCAAAATAGTGTTTCACCACAAGATATCCTGACAGGGCTGGGGATTTAGCTCAGCGGCATAAGTGCCTGCCTTGCAAGCAGGCAGTCGTGAGTTCAATCCCTGGTACCAATAAAAAGGAAAAAGACAAAAAAAAAAAAAAAAAGATATCCTGACATAAAAGTAGTTACCATAGTGTCTCTTTCCTTGAAATCTGTGAGTATAACTTCGTATACTGTAGCATCAAACATATCAAGGCAATGTAAAACCATTCAAGAGAATGACAGTATTACAGGGTATTTAGAATCAACTAACAGAAAATGAACAATGGTTTCTGTATAGTCTCCTTGTCTATAAAAAGTTTTTGTTTATATTATCACGTATAATAAAATTCAATAAGATGCAACATGTTAAGACCGATGGAGACAGAAGAACAAAAGCTTGGGCTGGAGATTTAGCTCAGTGGCATAAGCGCCTGCCTTGCAAGCAGGCAGTCGTGAGTTCGATCTCCGGTACCGATAAAAAGGAAAAAGAAAAAAAAAAAAAAAAAAAAAACCCAACAAAGAACAAAAGCTTGCTGGGACTTCAAAACAAGAGGATATTAAATCAGCACTACCTATTATGATGTCTTGTTTTCTCCAAAATAGCTGTTCCTACCATCCAACCTTCTCTGCCTCATTTCTGTTGAGCTCTTTTTCTGTCATTAGTTGTCAGTTTGTCTTCTTCATTTCACTTTCTGCTCCATTCATTGTGCCTCTCTGCCACTGTTTCTGGAATCTTGGTATTTTTCTTTTTTTAGAATATCCTATAGTATTCTCTGTAGTGTTGAATTGATGGTTGCAAATTCCCCTAGTTCTTCTTTATCCTGGAAGCACCTTGTTTTTCCATCAATTTCTAGGGACAGTTGTGCAGGATATATCAATCTTGGCTGGAGGTTATTATCTTTCAAAGCTTGAATTATTTCCCCCCACACTCTTCGTGATTGATGGTTTGTGAAGTCTGCTGTAATTCTGATGGGTGTTCCCTTGTAAGTGATCTGTTTCTTGTCTCTGACGGCTTTTAATATTCTGTTCTTATATTGGATTTCTGGAATTTTGATTATTATATGCCTGGTATAGTTCTGTTTAGGTTGTAGGTGGCTGGGGTCCTGTATGCCTCATACATCTGAGTATCTTTACCTTTTACTAAATTAGGGAAATTCTCCTGGATTATTTCTGTGAATAGCCTTTGTAGTTCATTTGTTTGTGTCCCTACTTCTTCTTTTATGTTCTTAATCCTTAAGTTATGGCTCCTCTTATCATCTTCTAGCCTTTGTATTATTGCTGTTTGTTTCCTTATTTTTTAAAGAAGTTTTTCATTACTGCTCCCACATTACAAATCTGTCCTCCAGTTCAGATAATCTGTCCTTAGTCGTTTCAAGCTGTTATGCCAGCTTTCAATAGAGTTTTTAGTTTCTGCTATGTTTTGTCTATTTTCTCCATCAAACAATTCTCCCCTTTTTTTCTGTTCTTCCATTCCACCATCTTTTTTTTCTTGGTGGTGCTTAGCATTTCTCTAACTATTCTACTTATATCTTGCTTTACTTCCTTAAATACTTCACTTTTGAACTCATCTATGAGGCTCTGGAGATGTCACTTTATGACTATTGGTGCCGTGTCTGATATTGTATGTTTTCTGTCCTCATTCTCCTTTGCATTTACCTTTCCTGGATCAGTGTTCTCAGGATTGGGGACTGAGGACCCTTTCTTGTTGCTCCCTCTTCTCATACTTTTTGTTCCTTCCATACATATATAGGAGGCCCAGTTTCTTTCTTTGTCAGGTACAGTGTGTTTGAATTGAGCCGGCTAGGTGTTCCCACCCACTGCAGTGTACTAGGGAGACACAGACCTGGGCAGCCTCTGCTGGGCCCGCCCCTCCAGGTCAACCTACTGAAGGCTTTAGTGCTAGGGTGCACTGCCAGACGCTGGGATCTGGTTTACGCTAACCTATTGGGTCTTAGTCCGCAGCGTCACCCAGGCCAAGCCCTCCCCACCAATCCCACTTGAGAGGGGAATATGCGACTTAAGTCCCTGCAGTGTCCTGTTCCAGCTAGTCTGCCCAGTCCCAGAATGTACTCTGTTGGAGCTTCCTAGTCTATGGAAGGGTCCCTGTTCGTCTCACTCACTGCCTGTCAATGCAGGGCTCCCCGCCAGTCCCGCTCTCAACTCTGTTCGCTGATTCCTGCTCTCAGAGGTTTCGTGTCTCTGTCCCTGCTGTGCTGATTCAGATGCAGCAGCGGCAGCAGGAAATTCAAATCGTGGCTTCCAGAGGCGTGGGTTCCAGCTTCAATGCTAAGATTTGATCTGTTCCAGTTATAGTACCGGGATTGCATTTCCAGTTGGTTTCTCTCAGCTTAGTTCGTTCCTGGGTCGACAGGGTATATCTCCCCTTGCTTAGGACTCCTCACACCGCACCATTCCTGGATTCTAAGCTGGCTATCTCAGAGAGCCTCTGTAGCTGCTGTTATCTATCCGCCATGTTCTCCTGGAAGTCCAAGACCAGTCTTAACTACAGAGCAAGACCCTGCCGCCCCAAGATGAATAAATAAACTAATTAAATAAAATTAAAATTAAAAACCTCTTTGCTGATGGAACATTGTCTTATCCACTGACATTATAAAAACAAGCCAGAATGGGAAGGCTGTACAGTGAATTCCTGAGGTTATCCCAGTTTGTGGACTCTCCAAGGGCATAGTAGGAATTTTAGTTGTTAATTTCTCTTTTCTGTTGGAAATACTACTACATGATTCTAAAACAGTGAATTTTAATGGAGCAAAGTGTTTCCACTGCTAATTTTTTTCCTCACCAAAGAGAAAAGTGAAGTTTCTGAGAAGGTTGGAATTTCTTTGCTCTGTAATAACCTGTTACTGTCATGTGGAGGATGATCAGATTGCAAATTTCCAGGTAGCTAGGAGACAACTTACTTTATAGATAGTGACATGGTAGACCTCTTTACCTCTTTATTCTTTGAATGTCTATATTTCTTAGAATTGCCTTGCTTCCTTTCTGAAATCTAAATTATGTAGAGGAAACACGATTACTTTGACCCAGCTCAGGACATCTAAAACAGGTTAGAAATGTCAAAGCAGGTTAAAGTACAGGACAGTGCTGGCTGCCGTAAGTAAGGTAATATTCTCAAAAAGTCATTTTCTCCCTTTCTTGCTGTTGATTTTTGCTTTTTTTTTTTTTTGGCAGCCTTTTTTTGACACAGGTTTGAGGTGGTTGAGAATAGCTTTTTGAGAGCTTCAGATCACATTAATCCAGTAATTGTGGTGATCCATGCTCTCAGGAACTCTTAAAATAACTCACTAGTTTGGTATCCCAAGATATTTGGCTTTACTAAGGCTATTTTACCCATATACTTTCATTAGCACAAAAAATTATCTTAGGTTACAATAATTTATTTGGGAAGTGCTTTAAGGTTAGATTACTGAGGTGGGGATCTAGCTCAGCAACACAGTGCCTGCCTGGCAAGTGCAAGGTCATGAGTTTAATGCCCAGTACCACAAACAAAAGATAACTAAAGGTTCAAAACATGAGCCCATGTGATAGATGCTGATAAGTCTGTGTGGCAGAAGAATCATTTGGAGTTGAGTTCTTTGCAGAATTTCATCAGAAATGTTTTGTTTAGTGTCTGATTTCAAATAGCCTAGAGCCTGGAGATTGTGATGGTTGGTTAAAATTTAATGGGTCAGTTGTACTTCAGGTTATGACATCTCAGTCCCTCAGTTGCTCTGTTTCATTTCATGGTAGAGAACTTGGCCAACAGTAAACTTTAGAGATGTGCATTTTAAAAATACCTCGGTTGACTCCTACTTTTCATGATGATAATGAAGCCAGGATCAGATCCCTAAATTGGTTGTATCAGTAAATATTGTTACTGCTTTGTAGATTGACTTGCAATCTCAACCAGTTCATCTGTTAAAGAAATGTCTGTTGTCACACAGGAAATAATTTAAGAGATGTCTTTGTTTTATGACTTATGTAGACTATTCATACTGGCAGCAGCAGGCAGATACATTTTCATTGTAGGTTACTTAAAGTAACTGAAAGGGGGCTTGATATTTATGTTAATGGTTGAACACTTGGCCTAACATACCAGATGTCCAGTGTTGAATCCATTATTATCCCAATTATTTAACATTTAATTTCTGTATGTAAATCAAATATAATGCTAAACTTTGATTTGTATTAATCGACACATTTTTCTAACTTTAAAAAACTTTTCAAGTAATAAAATTTGGTTTGTTTTTTGGACTTTATTTTTCTTTTGTCAAGGCATGATCTTGCTATGTAGTTTAGGCTGGCCTTGAAGTTGCAGCATTGCTCCTGCCTCAGCCTTCTGACTGCTAGGATTACAAGTGTGCACCACTGCACCTGCTGCAAGTAATAAATGCTCATTACAGAAAATTAGAACATATATAAGCAACAAAACCAGAAAAATTGCCTTATATTTTCATTGTCCAAAAAGATTTGCACGTGTTGTGGCTTTTGAAACACATTGGTAGCTTTCATTCTCTCAGCTGTTCCTGCTGTCAGGTTGATGTCTCTCTAATCAGTTTTTGGTCCATTAAAATCTGCCCTTTGTATTCAGTTGCAGAGTGAAGAAGAGGCTGGGGAACCCGCGCAGGCTGCCGGTGATGCTCCTCCGCCTTACAGCAGCATCTCTGCGGAGAGCGCAGGTGGGTGGCCCAGCAGGCCGTGTGTGCACTCCTTCCATAACTCTTACTCTATGCCTTGTCTGGTGTGTACTTATTGGTGTTTGCTTTTGCATTCTTAAGTTATCTTTGGCTTTGTTTTTATTTTGAAGCCTAAAGTAAAAGAAATTCACATTGTTGTTCTGAGAAACAAAACCTCATTTTAAATAGAGATTTTGGCCATTGTTGTTGTTTTGAGACAGAGCTCAGTACGTCAGAGTGGGTATGATGAGCTCACCATGTAGCCCAGGGTGGCCTTGAATTTGTGGTGCTCCTTCAGGGCTGGGCTTACAGGCAGGAGTCAGCACACCCAGCAGAGATTTGGGTTTTTTAATAGAGCTCAATTTCATTCTAATTGATTCTTCATATAAAGGAAGTAGAAGTCAGGAACTGGGTGATCGCCTACTTTTAGTTTTTGATTATTTTTTTTATTAGCTGTTTTGCCTCCTTTTTAACCTATTTTTAAAATTAGTGTATGTTTTTGATGCATAATAAATGCATTCATTGTGGAGAATTGGTGCACATGTAGCTTGCTTCTTGGTCCTTTTTACATCTGCTTCCCTTCCTGTTTTCTTTTCCTCTCGTCTCCAGATCCCCTTCCTGTCTCCACATGGTCTGTTTCACCCTTAAGTGATTCCAGTCTCTATAACCAGGAATGCACTATGTCTTTTATGCTAGTAAATTGTTGTGTTTGTTTTTCCAGTCCCAGGGATTGAAGCTAACAGCGTTCTACCTCTGATCTGTATTCCTCAGAGCTACACCTCAAGTCCTTGCCCACTTTTTCTTTTTTTAATTTGCAGTTTGTTAAGTTGCCCAGAGTGGCCCCAAACTTGCAGCCTTCCTGCCTCAGCCTCTTAGGTAGCTGGTATTGTAGGTATGTGCCACCATGCCCAAGTGTGCTAGTAAATTTTTGTTTTTCCATTTTGGACTGTTAAACTTGAACATAGGGCCTTTGCACTGAGCTATATCCCCAGCTCTTTCTATTTCTTATTTTGAGACATTCTCACTGTTACCCAGGCAGGACTTCAATGTGGAATCCTCCTGTCTCGGCTTCTTAGAGTGTGGAGATTACAAGTATGTGCCACCATGCCTGGCTGATGCTGGTAAATTCTTAATGAAAAAACCTTGGTCTCCCAACTCTTTCATACTGTTCTTGATAGTTTAAACTCTTTGTTTAGCCTTTACTCGTCACATTCTTATGCTAGATTATGTCTTCAGTTTTTGTGTATATGTGTGGATGGATTGCAAAAGAAGAAATGTCAGTAGTTGAGAGCCTAACCAGTTCTACTATAAGTCCTCACCAGTTTTGATAGAATCTCTTTCATATTCTCCAAAACAGGCAAGTACCTGGCTCATGTGCTGCTACTGAGCCCTCCCTGCTACACGGATAGGTAGGCAGATTGAAGATATCATTCATCTTTGTAAGTCGAAACACAACCCTGGAATCCTTTGCATTAGAGCACTTGAGGTATTGTTATTAGTCAATGTGAGATTAAATCTGTTGGTGGTCTCTCCAGTTCAGAGGCTGCCACTAGTTATTTAGAACTTAGCTCAAATTGTGTTTCATTTCAGTTTCTGAACTCATATTAGTTTTGTTGTATTTCCATTTCATTGTATAATTATGATTCTTTTATTTGTAAGCAACTGAAACTAACCCTGCTAAATTGAAGATTTTGCAAAAATTCTAGGGTATCTCATGGAAGCAAATCAACATCAGTGACTTGAAAAGAAATCACAGTGTCATCCCCTATTAACTCTTTTCTGTGCAGACCATAAATACTGGTCTTCCATTAAATGTACCTGGTGAAAACCCTAATATACAGTATACGAATTTGGATTACTTGTTTATTAATGATAAAAAGTCCTTCCCACCTAGCTATTCAGAATTATAATGTAGTTTTTTTTAACCTGGATATTGTCTGAGTTTCTACTTTCTTCAGTTGTAAAACTTCTGACCATTTTAAGTAGAGATCTTTTCTTGGTTGCTTCACTTCTTTATACACATAATATCTTTATATTCTTTTAAATTTTCCTCTATATTGAGAAACATTCCTTTATTCATTAAGAGTGTAGAATTCATCATTGAAGAATAGGTGCTGTATATCCTGCCCCCTCACATTGTCGGATGCAGTTCCTATTGTTGTCAGCATGGTGTCTCTTGTGTCGCTGTGTTTATGTTTGTCTTAGGGCCTGAACAGTAAACAACAAAACTTAAGCTGGTACAAGATAAAAATAAGCTGTTTCTGGAATACAAGCCTGAAGAGCTCTCTCTTAACTATAGTCTGAGCTTTGTGGTATTTCATCTTAGTACTCAGAAGCCTTTAAAAAATACTGTTTTTGGCCTGTGCAAGAACATTTGATGGATTATATTAACATTGTGCCCAGAAACTTTGCTAAATTCATATATTTTGATCGCATTTTTTCTCCATATATGGTAAGATCGTCTGTAGTAGACAATTTCTTTGTTTCCTATTTGTTTGGGTTTTTTCTTTTTTTGGGGGGTGGTACTAGGGATTGAACGCAGAGCCTCCCACATGCTGGGCCCCTTTTCCAATTCTTACGGCTTTCATTTTCTTGCCATTTTGTATCAGCTAGAATTTAAACCTAGTTATTAGTGGTGATACCAGTAATAGGCATTTTATCTCCTTCTCTTAATACTAGGGGAGAGAGCATTTAGTAATTTAACACTATGGCATTGCTCCTTTTTTTGGTTTTTTGGGTAGATATTTGTGATCATATTGAAGTTTTATTCCTATTTTGTAAGTATTTTAATATTGAATTTTATCCATCTTTTCTAGATCAAGGTGAAATATTTTTCTTTTTTTATTAAGATATATTATGTTGGTTGACAATTTCAATAGTACAGTAAAAAAGTTAGGCATTAATTACAGTTAACTAAAGAAATTTTAATGTTAACCACAGGAATTTTTCAAAAACTGAAATTTAAAGCATTGTGTAGACATTTAATTGATTTACAAATGTATTTTTGCTGATTATATTGAATCTTTTATGATGCAAGTCAGTGAAAATGCCAATGTGGTGTAAAAAGAATGAAAGATTTTATGAAGATAATCATTCTATAACTGAGTTAATTTTAGCGTATCAGAGAGAACAGTATATGATAAGAAGTAATGTTAAGAGTCAAAGTGCCAAAACAAACCTGTAAGAAATTAAATTTAAGCTTTTTTCCTCTCTTAAAGGTGATTTTCCTGTTTGACAGAAAGAAATTAGAATACCGATTTACACATACATTCGTAACATTGAAATGTTTTCCTTATTTCTGTATTAAAATTAAATAATTAAATGAGAACCCATGTGGTGGTCTAAAGTAGTATTTTGAAACCATTTGGAAGTAAGGCTGCAAAGTGAGTCTGGCTTTTATGTAACTGGAAAGTGGATACATTTTAAAAATCACCACCAGATTCTTACATACAACTATAAATATCCTTTGGTTCAGTTATTCTACATGTACTCTTAGGGAAATGCCTGAATTTAGTTTGCCTCAATTTGTGGAGATCCTGGTATTCCTTTAGTTAAGCTAATTAACTATCAGATGTTGTGACTTCCTTTTTTTCTTCAGCATATTTTGACTACAAAGATGAGTCTGGGTTTCCAAAGCCTCCCTCTTACAATGTGGCTACGACACTGCCCAGTTACGATGAAGCTGAGAGAACCAAGGCTGAAGCTACCATTCCCTTGGTTCCTGGGAGAGTAAGTATAGTTTGCCATCTTGAGTACCTGATGGGCAGCTTTATGGGAGTTAGTTTATTTTTGTTACCCAATTTTGAGTTATTAGGGTTGATTAGAGAGAGTTCTGTTAATTTTAAACAAATACATTATTAAATTTAAACAAATTATTTTCAGATAATAAACATCTCTTTCTGCAAATGATGAGATCATGAGGTATGAGTAAACAGACAATTCTCAGTTTCCCCTGTTTCCGAGACTACTGTGGATCTCTGCTTTCTTGTATCTGCTGGGGTGGCTGAAATGTCTTGGAGCGGGAGCTGATTTAGAAAGTACACTGAGTTTTTAACCCTGCACACTTAAAACTGGTGTTGTGGGTACACGCTAAGGAGATCTATGGAGAAATCAACTCACGAAAGGAACTTTAACAGTCACAAAGTCTCCAGTAGTTCAGATCATACCATTTATAGGGATGCAGTTAGATCAGATCCCATCCAGCATCCTGTTGATTTGTGGGGGTTAGCCTAGGGTATAATGAGCCTGTACTGCTTTTGGCTACTCTTGGCTCTTGACATTAGACTTGTTTGTAGGTGTTACAGATGTAGTTTCATAAATATTTATGCAGATGTGGTTAGGGCCTTGGGCCAGATATTGGGAGAATGAAGGCAGGATACAGTCCCCAGGAATGTGGAGGTGATTAAGGCTCCAACCTGTAATTTTCACAGGAAATTGGAGTGAATCATAAAAACAAAAACAGAATCCTGGTCTGGCAGTGCACTGGCATAGGCCCTGGAGTTTCTTCTAGCTTTAGGGTAATACATTTATTTATAAACTATACCTGTTATAAGAAATAGTAGTATGTTAGCCCTAGCTTAGGAAAAATAGTTTATGAGCCTGGTCTAGGCTGGATTTACATGGTAATCTGCATTCAAATCTTCTGGGTACCAGGGAAAAACTATCAAACCTCATGGAGCTTATTGTCTAAAGACAAAACAGTCATAACATAACAGCTGTATATTGGAAGCAAATATGCTGAGTGCTCTTAATATATTTTTATATATTGTTTGCAAAAGATGCAAAAATTCAGGGCCAAAGAGATGAAGTAATTTGAAATTATTTGGCTAATAAGTAGCTTAAGTTAGTCAACTTCAGATAGAGTAGACTCCAGAGGGCTTCCTTGTATGTTTTACTGTATTCTGCAGAACTGTTGGGATATGTGGTGAATATAAATATGTAGAAATTAATTCTGATTGCTTACATAACTCTTCAGAGTTCTTTTGACAGGTAGACATATTTGGAAGCTTATTAAAGCTTCTGAATATTAATTCTTAATGTATGTGGCACTTTTTTCCTGTAAGGTGCTATGTATTTTGCAATGTGTAAGTGAAAAGCTTCCTACAAATCAGGATACAGAGTTTAAAACCCTAGTAGGGTAAAAGGCCAGCAGATACACCTACACTACACAAAAGTGTCAGGCATTGTATCAGTCAGTGTTTTACTGAGAAACAGATATAGTACAAGATATACAAATACACAATCAATTACTAGATTAGCTTATGATGGCCAGCCACAGAGTTGGATGAGGAAGAGTTAGGGAGTGTGTGTATACTGGAGATCAAAGGTTTCATTCCAAGGCCTGCAGTTCACTGCATTGTCTGTGCAGGTCCATATCAGGGCTGATAAGTCTCTTCCTTAAGACTGAATAAATCAATGTAAACCAAATAAATAGTCCGTGCTAAAAAGCTGAAGAATTCATGCCGGAAGCTGAAGAGTCAACACTGGAAACCAAAATATGACATCCAAGCAGAAGGCAAAGACTGGAGCTCCTCCAGAGAACAGAAGCCAGAGTGTCCTTCCTCATTTTCTTTTATACTATCTGGACAACTAGACACCCTAGGGTGGTCTTCTACATTGTACGGTGTAGAATTGCTGAGCTGATGTAGTTTAAGCTCCTATACTTCTCAAGTTGACACAATCAGTCAACCATTACAGGCATCAAGATCTTTTACTTCACTAGATGATCATAGAAAAAAATGGGTAAGAGTTGTAGAAGGAAAAAGCCCAGAAAGTAGATAAGAATTCAGCCAAATTCAGGGCAGTTCATAGGATTATTTTTGCATAAGCAAGACATTTGTGAAGGATGCTACAAAGATGAAAACAACAACTTTTGTTGGCAGAATGCTAGGCTGAGACATATAAATGTAGTACAGCATGTAGTTCACATAGTGTCTTAAGTTGTTTTTGTTTTTATCATTTTTGGTATCGGGAATTGCATTCAGGACCTTGTGCTTGCCAGGCAGGCACTGTGCCACTGAGCTATATCCTCAGCCCAAAAATGTCAGCAATTTTTTTTGTACTGGGGATCAAACTTGGGACCTTGTGCTTGCTAGGTAGGCACTTAGGCCACTGAGCTAAATCTCCAGCCCCATATCCTAAGTTTTTGAGCAGGAGTATGGAAGGACTGTTGTACTGTTTTGGAAACATTAATCTGGTAAGAATTTGTGGAATTATTGTAGAAGAGACTAAAGGACAGGAAAAATAAAAGACATTTACAATATTGAAAGCTGTGTCTGTGTACTTTAAGAGTATATTTCTGAGTGCTTATGTACAGAACTCGATAAGTCAGAATAGTGATATTTAATATTTTAAAAAATTATATAACAAATGGATTCTTGTAAAAGTTGCAAATATATAAGAAGTATGTGCAGTTAGAAAAGAAGGCTATCAGCAACACATCCCTTTCATCCCTTTACTCTAGTGTGTACTCAGGAGAAACGCTAGCTACAGGTTAGTATGGATTCTCCTCTTTGCTTTTCTTTTTTGTGTTTTTGAGACAGGGTGTCTCTAAGCAGTTGGGGTTGGCCTTGGGATCACCTTGTATCCCAGGCTGGTCTTGAACTACAGTCCTCCTGCCTCAGCCTCCCAAGTGCTGAGATTACAGGTGTGCACCACCACGTCCGGCCCCTATATCATTTGAAAAAATAGTCCCACCTGTATTGATACTGATCAGGATCATTTTCCTTCTAGAGCCACAATACTGTCTTCAAGATAGGATCAGAGAATCTTATCTACCAATAAGATTAGAGGTTAAATTTTGTTTTGATTTGTTTTGTTTTGTTTTGAGCTTTTTGAAAAGAGTCTGACCATGTAGTTCAGGGAGGTCTTGAACTCACTTATGTAGCCCAAGCTGGTCTCGAAGTAGTAGCAGTCTTCCTGCCCCAGCTTCCCAAATGCTGAGAGAATTTGTTTTGGATCTGTGTACCAATACAAAGAAGTGCTAATGGAGTTGAGCCAAGTCAACTCTGTATGGAGCCTAGGTATGCTTCCCTCCCCTTCCAACGCTGGTCAGTTTTATCTCCTTGGTAGGCCCTGATTCTTAACTACTGTAGGGACAGTGGTAGTGAGTTTGTATCATTGAAAGCTTTAAAGCTACACTGTCCCTCTATTGGTTCTAAACATGCCCTAGACTATGAAGATTGTAGCATGTATCTCAACCAAATACATAGGAAATTTTCTTTTTTTCATTTCTGGAGATGGGAACTTTTAATGTTTGCGGTATATTGCTGTAAGAATTTCGATTGGGAATGAGTATGTATCTTAGGGCTTTTGATTCAGTCCTAAGTGCCAAAAAATAATTTGGATTGTAAAATGAAGCATTCATTTAGAAAACTGTGGAGATAGAAGGAAAGATTTATTTCAGCTCTAGTTGTTTCTTACATATAATGCAAAATAAAAAGTTTAACATATACTGAACCTCTAATGCTAATAGCTTTCTTTGAATTGAACCAGAGCAATAAATTTTGTCCTTGGTGCTCATATCTGTCCTGTTATTTTTATTGATGTCTTTCTTGTGCCTAGAAATGATTTATTAATAATTTACCTATTCTTTTTATTTAGGATGAGGATTTTGTGGGTCGAGATGATTTTGATGATGCTGACCAGCTGAGGATAGGAAATGATGGGATTTTCATGTTAACTTTTTTCAGTAAGTATATACACAGCAGAGTCACTTCCTGAAAACCACAGTGCTTTGGATTATTTTGTGAAAAGTAGAATTAAGGCACTAATGGGCGTGTTGTGTTTTTACATGCGCTAACCTTCATCTTTTAGGTCTGTGAGGCTTCTTAGCATTTCTCCTACTCATGCTCAAATGCCCTTTTCTGATGAAATTTTTCTGAAAGGTTCTATTGTCTGATAGATCAAAGTCAGGTTGATTTTCCTCCTTTTTTTTGCACTTACCTTCTCATGAGTTTCATGTAGATAAAAGGAATTTATTTGCTTTATGAAAAGCAAAATGCAGTACTTTCAGAACTGATTTTATGTAAACTCCTAGAAATTCCCAAAGCAGGAAGATGAATCACTTGATTTGGGGGCAGTAATTTAACAATTTAATGTCCAAGACATTCATTTACTAAAGTATTGAATAACGCTGCAAAGAGCACAGGTCCTGAGTACACAATGTAGTGAATTTAAGACAGTGAATAGCAGTAGACATGATAGTGTAACATGTCAGAGAAGGTATTTTCTTGTTGCTTGGAGGAAAGGCAGAAAGATGAGTGTTTGGGAGGAGGTGGGGTGAGGCTGTGAAGGGTAAGTCATCTTTCATCCTTGGGAAAGTCATTCAAGCAGAGGCCAATGTAAGGAGCACACAAGACATGTCTGAATCTTTTCCCACCCTGCTTGTATAGTGGCATTCCTCTTCAACTGGATTGGGTTTTTCCTGTCTTTTTGCCTGACCACCTCAGCCGCAGGAAGGTATGGGGCCATCTCAGGATTCGGACTGTCTCTCATTAAGTGGATCCTGATTGTCAGGGTAAGTTACAACAGAAAAGGTAAATTCTGCCAAGAAATGATAATTAAAGTGATTTTGAATCTTGGTTTTTAAAATTATGTCAACTTTTTGTTTCCTCCTGCAGCCATTGCCCTGAACAATATCCCCACGCCCCTTTGAGCCAGGATCTCCCTAAGTCACTGAATTGCTCAGACTAGACTCAAACTTGTGATCCTCCTGCCTCAGTGTCCCAGAGTGCTAGGATTACAGGCATGTGTTAATCATGCCCGGTTTATGTCAACACTTAAAATTATATTTGATTTATTTTTGTTTTGGTTGCATGATGAAGCTGAACCAAAAGCAGTTGCAAGTGGTTACTGTATACAAATTTTATAATGAGTTGAGGTGGATGTTGGTCGATTCTATAGGTTGAAGTTGTTTTTGCAATAATAAGGTTATCACATCTGTGCTAGTTTCTCAAAAGTACGCATTCCTCTCATTAATTCTTGTTGAATTATAATTACTTTTCTCCTTCCTTACCGGGCACCCTCCACCCTCCCTTCTTTGCTTCCTTCTTTCCAGGATTATTCCAAAATATGGGGGTACAAAGTATTCAGCAACTGTTACTCTGTTAGGGGTCAACATGTGAAGTAAATTAAAGAGATGTATATCTTCATTGATTTGGAAGTTGCCTGTTAGAGTTACACAGAATAACTCAAAATTCTCAGAGATCTTAGCTTTAAAAGTATTTTCCAGGTAGACATGCTCTTGTGTAATGTGATCCTGGTCCTTGGGCTGAGGCAAAAGACAGTCATGAGTTTGATGATATAATGAGACCCTGCCTCAAAAAGAAAAACAAAAATTTAAAGTATTCTTTGACTTTAAAATATTTATTGCAAGTGCTGGCCTTAGAGACAGAACCAGTTTATTTCTATTAAATTGGCATACCAGCCAAACAGTTGGCTTTAGCGCTATTGGATAAGCAAAGTAAAATTATCATCAATACATATTTGCATTTGTCACAACTTTGATATCAGTAATGTATAAAACCTTTTTTGTGGTGGAACACACCTGTAATATCGCCACTGAGGCTCTAGCAGGAGGATTGTCAGAATTTGAAGGCCAGCCTGGGCTACATACATAGTGAGTTCAAGGCCAGCTGAATTACATAGTGAGACCCTGTCTCATGAGGAAAAAAAACAAGTTTTTGAAATTATTGTCAGTAGGGCCTAGGATTTAGCTCAGTGGCATAAGCACCTGCCTGACAATCACGAGGTCATGGGTTCGATCCCGGTACCAAAAAAAAGAAATTATTGTAAGGATGAAATCACAGCAGCGGTATGACAAATAATAGCCTTGTATTTTGTATGTCCTTGAGTTAATATAGGAAATTGTGTGTACTAATGTGCTGTAAAGTGTTTGCCTCACTTTTTCAGTTTTCCACCTATTTCCCTGGATACTTCGATGGTCAGTACTGGCTTTGGTGGGTGTTCTTGGTTTTAGGTAAGTACTTTTAAAAGAAAAGGTTATGTTAAACTCCATAACTGAAATTCTTTTAGTAACCCATTACCTACCTCATTTATTGTATATTATATTAACATAATACAAAGTTTAAAATTATAATTTTAAATGTCTTTTTTTTTTTTTTTCATAAAAATGAAGCAGTTGTCACCATCAAAGTAACAGGCACAGTCATAAAAGTTCTTTGTAGAGTTAGGTTTTTCCTAATCCATTTACATATATTTCTCTATCCCTGATGAGCAGGCCATACTAAATAAGATGATCCTGTGGTGTGTGGATTTTTTTCCCCCTGTTAATTATTGCTGCCAAAGATTCACAATCTAAACCTCCATTTGCTTATGGACACATTATAAACACATGAACTAACTCATGGCTGTATGTAGCTTATCTTTGGTTAGACCTGACAAACAGCAGAAAGTGTGTTACATCATTAGATATAACTTCTGAAAGAACCATTATTGGATTTCCAGAATTTTTCTGTTTACTATTGGAGAAAATAAGAATTATTTTTGAGTGACTAGGAGGCTTTTAAAAAATATGCCTATTAGCTGGGAGTGGTGGTGCACTCCTGTAATCCCAACACTTGGGAGGCTGTGGCAGGAGGATGGCTGCAAGTTCAAGACCAGCCTAGGCTACCAAGTGAGCCCAAGGCCAGCCTGAACTGTGTAGCAAGATCCTGTCTCAAAAAGAAAAAGAAAAAAAAAAAAAGCCTAGATAATTTAAACTGTCAGGCTTCATACTATGTTTTTTGCTGTAAATATTTTTAAATCTTTTCCTAAAAATTAAAGCAAAAAAGTGGGTGACTCTTCATTATTTGTAAAGAAAATGTATGTTATACAATAAGAGGCCACCGTCATTGCTATCATCTCTGTAAGGCAATAGGCCATCATGTACTTGCTAAGGATCTTGTGATTGACTTACTGCACAACTGTGACATCACTTCTTCCTGTCCCCTGGTTTGGGCCTTTATATTGTGTCCTTATTAGGGCTACTGCTAATGGGACTGTGTAGGACAGCCTAGCACCAGTGCCCACCAGTTGCTTAAAAGATTTGCTTGGGCTTAGAGAGCCATGCATAGCTGACTTCAAATTTTTCTTAGAAAATGCAAGTCATCTATCATGTCATCCTCCCTGATAATATCATCTGCTCTAGTCTTGGTCATTGGAATTCTAATAATTCTAGAAAGAGAAATACAGATTTTTAAAAATCTTCCTTTGATTACTAAGAAATTTAATAATACAAATGATTGGCAAGGAACACAACTTACCAGGAGTAAATCATTGTCATGGTTATGCTTTAAACTGCTTTTCAGGGAGACCGGACCACATCTCTTCACCTGAGCCACAGTTAAATAAAGTTCTAAGTAGAGCTGGGGATTTAGCTCTGTGGCTCACGTACTTGCTTGCCTGATAAGCTCAAGGTAGAGTTCAATCCTTAGAACCAAAGAAAAAATTCCATGTTTTCAGGTTATTTATAAGCACGTTATTTTAATAAGCTAATGTTGATTTCCTTTCTCTTTTAAAGGCTTATTTGAGATGGACTTATGTACTTTATTGTTGGTCACTCTTAACCATGTTTACTTATGAACAGAAAATGCTGCAGCGGCAGACACCCTTATTTGCTTGCCTGGTGCTGGCTCAGTGTAGGAGCTTCTCTTCACACAGAACCGCTTGGGGAGTTTCTCCTTCAAGGGCAGAGCTCTTGAAGCTGGCAACTCTTAAACTTCCTCTAACCTAGAGATGGGTTTGTTCCGTGGTTATTTGAAGTTTTTAAAGTTAATTGCCAACACTTAAAAACCAAGATTTTTCAAATAGGAGATCTGAATTTTTAAGTTTTTTTCTTAGAAGTTGGAATAGTTAGCAGAACTGGCCTATATTTATACATGGTACTTTTTGGCTGGAGCTCAGCTGGGTGTAGCTGTCCAGCCCCTTTAAAAAAAAAAAACAAAACTCTCCCCAAAACAGTTTTGTGCTCTCCATTTTAGGAGGCTCCCCCTTGACCCAGACCCTGGTTACATTCTCTTTGTACTTTTGGTGCCACACAGAAGAATGGTGTTCATCAAACTCAGCTGTGACAACTCTTGGTTATTGCCAGAAACCATTTCTCCTATGTTGAGGGTAAAGAGTTTCCACCACTGATAAATGTGTCCGAAAGAAAGCTGAACCATTGTCCAGGGCTGGGGAAGGGGACGAAGGAGTAGGCAAACCAGGACTGCTAGTTGGTACAAGGTTTTTGGGGAGTGATGAGTATGTTTTAAAATTACATTGTAGCTGGGAGGCTTTACAAGTCTGTAAGTACACAAAGTGAACTCCATAATATATAAATTGTATCTCAGTACTTAAGACTCAGGAATCAGCCAGGTATGGTGGTGCGCGCCTGTGATCCCAGCACTCCATAGGCTGAAGCAGGATTGCTGTGAGTTTGAGGACAGCCTAGGCTACTTAGTTCAAGACCAGCCTGGAGTACGATAGGGAGACTGTCTCAAAGAAGGGCTCAGAGGCACTCTGAAGGAGTTCAGGAGCATGTGACTTTCCATGGAACGGGGCACGTCACCCCCTCTGAGGACCCTCTGAAGAAGTGCAAGCGTCTGAGAATTTGTAGAGTCTAGTGCAGTTGCACAAAATCAGCCTTAGGCTGGAAATAAAGATCAGTAGTGTGAGACCTTGTCTCAAAAAGACAAAAAAAAAAAGAAGTTAAACATCAGTGGTAGTGCATTTGGAAAGATAACATAGGTAAGTAGATTGACTGATGTGGGTGAGTGGATGGATGGATGGATAGATAAATTCATCCTTAATAAAAGAGAAATAGAGCTCAGAGTTGAGACTGAGAATTATTTTAATAGGTAAGAGGATCCTGACATCTAGTGGACAACATTATGTACTGTCAACTGGAAAAAAAAGCACTGAAGGAAGCGTGCACACGCACACTCCCTCCCTTCTTCTCTCCCTCCCTCCCTCCCTGCATCCTTAATTTGGGAAAACCAGTTCTAATCTCTTCGTTTTTTGTGTGAGTTAATTATCTTGCAGTGATTTTTTGGGATACAGAATGATTTGATGTGCTACTCAGTGAGGCTTCCAAATATAAATGTTTGGTCGCATTTTTTCCTTTTGACCAACTACATTCTGAATGTACAAAAGAAACTTGATTTTTGACTCTTAAGGTTATGCTTTCTCATTGAGGAGTTTATAATTTGGTATGAAAAGCCTTAGGAGGCACTGAATGAAATGTTCGTGTTTTCATAGCCTTTAGCAAAAAAATGATAGGCTATTGCTGTCAGGAGAAGTATTTCTGGGGAGGAAACTTAACATGAAAATTGTTAATTTATGCTTGACTTTTCTTTTTTTACAATAGGCTTTCTCCTGTTTCTCAGAGGATTTATTAATTATGCAAAAGTTCGGAAGATGCCAGAAACTTTTTCAAATCTTCCCAGGACCAGAGTTCTCTTTATTTATTAAAGGTATTTTTTAAAATGTGTTCTAGTTTCACTGCGATCATGTGATATGTTGCAGATTTCCATTCAGTGTTGGAGTAAAGATTGCTGGTAGGGAATATAGAAAAGGTAAAGAAAGTACAATCCCTGCCTCTTCTGCAGTTTCTAGTTTGGGCTGGAGAGGTGCACCAAAAAAAGTGTGATAAGGGCAAGTTAGACAAACTGCTGTTTTTCTGTCTTAACATTTCATGTTTTGACAGATGAATCAGGGGACTTAGTAGCTATCAGGGAGCTAAGATATTGTTTGATTAAAGCCAGCATCCCAAAGCCACTGCTTATTTTTGTACCAGTTCCAAAGGATATCATTCAGAACTAACCCTTCAGGCCTGTAAGCACACACAGACTTCTAACCCAGAGTAAAGAGACTATAAGCACGGGCTGCTGTCAAGCTCAACAAGACTTCTGTCTTGTAAATTTAGTCATTGAGTCTTTCCTAGTGTCTTTTTCAGGTTCACACCCAGGTATTTTCACTCTTGTGAAGAAGGTTCGTTCTCAAGACAAAGAAGGGGAGAGAGGATCTTCCCCCCTTGTCTGTAACAGGACTAAGCCCTGTCCAGGTTCTTTGATTGATCCCTGGCTTTTGCAGAAGCTGACTTCATCTCCATCTGTTGCTACCTAAAGGAAGGAATAGGGAACTTTTAAGGTCTCCAGTAAGACCATCTAGGTATTCTTGACCTGGCTTTTTGTTCTTAGGACTTGTGGCACTGTATGGATGAAGAAGTAGACACTTATATATCAGCTGAAAGTCTCAGGCAAGGGTTTTCAGCGTACATGTAGCAGTTGTGACGAATCTTAAAGAATAAGTAGAATTTCAACTAGTAGAAATTGTATAGTGAAGGGAAGGATTTCAGAATCCCATTAGGTAGAGTGAGAGCAAAAATAGAGGCAGAGAAATATAACGACAGCAACTCAATTGAAACAGAAAGAAGTATTTTGAGGGTCAAGGCTGGGAAGCCATGTTGGGTCAGTGTTGTCAGTGTTGCTAAGTACTAAGCCCACTTGCAGTGTAACTGTCAAGTTTGTAAAGCTGCCTTTTAACACACCAGCATGTTGGTATAATGCAAGGCTAAATCCATGTGAACACCATTTTGTTCTCTGGTCACTGTTGGGTTTCATAATTACTGTAGATATTCACATACTAACAGTGGGAGTCTCAGTTTTCAAGACCAGTTGTGGCTGTATACATCAAGAAAATATATCCATGGGGCTGGGGATTTAGCTCGGCGGCATAAACGCCTGCCTTGCAAGCAAGCAGGCAGTCGTGAGTTCGATCCCCGGTACCGATAAAAAGAAAAAGACAAAAAAAAGGAACAGTTTCTCTTGGCTGTTCCGAGTGCAGTGGTGTTTACAACTAATTGATCACAACCAGTTACAGATTTCTTTGTTCCTTCTCCACTCCCACTGCTTCACTTGACTAGCCTAAAAAAAAAAAAAGAAAGAAAGAAAATATATCCACTATGTTTAATTTTCCTGGTAATAGGACAGCATTGACAGAATTAGATAATACCTTGTTTAGTGTAACAAACATTTTCCAGGCATAATCAAACAACACTAATATTTATAGTTCTCCATGTATCAGGCACTATATTAAACATTTTACATGTATAATTAAATGTACTTAACACATAGCTTTAGCTTATGTTAAAGTCAGTTTCTTTAAGAGAATATGCTCTGTGTTTACGTGTTTTTTTAAAGGGGAAAGAAATTTTGCATTGCATGTTTTAAAGTGTATGACATGACATGAATTTGAACTCAGAGTCTGGACACATCTGCACATGAGCTACTGGCTTAGATTCTAAGGCTTATGCTGTGTCTTTCTGTTTAGCGCATCCTGATCATAAGAGACATAGCTGATGTTTGGCACAGTTTTATTCAGTTAAGTAATGGATTCTGTAGGTGTAGTATAATGGTAGCTCTGAATTCTTTAGTGAACTGAAATCACTCCTCTGTCAAAGGAGGAGTCTTAACCTAAGGAGGAGTCTTCACTTAAAAAATTTGAATCTTTCTTAGGAAATTGCATACCTTCTTCATCTTCGGTTTAATGCATAACAAATAGGTCACAAGAAAGCCTGAAATATTATTTTCTTGTATTTTTGGGGGACTTCAGTGACATTTTTATTGCTACTTTTGTTTTGATTTCTACAAAATTTTTGAAATGTTTCTTGTATTTCTGAATTTTCTTTTTTTTTCGAATTCTGAATTTAAAACAAAGCATCTTTAGGGTTATGATTTGGACTTGGCAGTCCTTAGTAAAATGCTAGGGATCTGTTCAGGGAACTTCTTTGAACTCAAGAGCCTGAGAGAGCTTTAGCAGTGTGTTTTAGAAGTTGTTTGAAACTTGGCCACAAATAAATGAAACTTGGTCCCACATCAGAAGCATGATGGCATTCATTTGCCTCTGTGCCCAGCATCGATACCTTGGTTGGTTTGAAGTCATTCCCAACAAGTCATAAGAGTTCTAAATTAAACATTGGGAGAACTTACAGCATTCAGGATTCTAATGGTTTCCTGACTAATTCTTACGGGAACCGCAGAAGGAATCTGAAAAGCCATAATATCCTGTGGCACTAAGTGTCCTTTGTTCGTTGAAAGCGGTCAGAACTCTCCACCCAGATCCAAATGTGGAAAGATCATCCTTCTCTAGTTCAGAGTAAATTTAGTTTAACTTGGTTAAATGATGTGCAGGAAAACCATGGTGTGATATCTGGAGGTTTTCTTTTCTTTTGACTCCTATTTTAATGGCAGTGTCACTAGTTACAAAGCTAACTGTACGCTTACTTTATGCCAGAAAGCCCACAGGTAGAGAATTTAAAGAATAACTCTGCTATTAACAGAAAAGTGATATTCCTTCCATGCTTCTCTAACACTTGGCATTTTACTAGAAGATCTAGAAATAATGACTTTGTTTAGGTACCCAAGATATAGTACAAATAAGCCAATCTTAAAATAATCACAGAGGACTCCTCTGTAATCAGCTAAAACGAGTGGTGTAAAACCTAAGAAGGCTGCTGAGCTTGGGTTATTACCACAGGGGACAGTCTGGGCCCTCGCAGAGTTGCCTTGGGCCTCAGGTTGCGGGTGGGGTACTTTAATTTTCTCAGTTAACTTGTTTCCCACTTGACACAAAAGCCAGAAGGAACTGCTAAAAGTGGGCACAGTGGCACCAAGTGTATGTGCCTGTGAAGAAGTGAAAGAAACGAAATGTTTCTTGTGTATTATTTATAAAAAACCGTAACTTTTATGCAGACATGTGTTACTGAAGTGAATGGTTAAAAAATGTAAAGCATTCATACTTTTTCTCAATTCTAGTTCACTAAAAAGTACAGTTCTGCTGGGTATGGTGATAAACACCTGTAATCCCAGCTACTCAGACTCAGCCAAGGAGGAGGATTGAAAACTCTTAAGCCTGCTTGGGCAGCTCTGCAAGACACTGTCTCAAAATTAAAAGGGCTGAGGGTGTATTCAGGGGTAAAGTGCTTGCCTGGTATCATAGGTGAGACCCCGAGTTCAGCTCTTAGTTGCAGAAGAAAAGAAAAGAAAAGCACTCTCTTCCCTGATGCTGCCAGGTAAAGGAAGGTTAGCTCCAGTAACTACAGGTGGTAACAGTTCATCGTTATAGCTAACACGACCTGTGTTATGCCAGAAGCACCTGCATGTGTGAAGCATAATATTTAAAAAATCTATTGCATCTAAAATAGCCAGGGATGTAGCTCAGTGACACAGTGCCTGCCTGACAAGCGTGAGGTTATATGTTTGATCCCTGGTACCATAAATAAATAAATAGGAAAATATTTTTAAGCTCTGGCATTAATGAGTTGAAGACTTCATAATTAAAAAGTGATTCCTGCGTCTGGTTAAACAATACACTTTAGGGGTTATATATTTTAATTTTTTTTCTATACAATAGCAAAATCATTTTTTTCCCTTTCTGTAATTTTCCCTCGTTCCAAGTACCTCTCTTAGTAAAGGAAATCATCTTAAGATAAAGTTTGATTTAGAGGACCATGTTATAAAGTAACCAGACAGTAGGGATGGTGTTTCCCTGCTTAAAAAAGTGATGGACTCTGCTTTAAAAACAGAAACACATACGCACACACACAATGTCCGTGAAGAAATGATTCAGTTGTCATCCTCCAGTTAAATGATGTGTAGGCTGTTGGTTAAATGATCTGATTCTCAGTGCTGTGGTGTCCCTGAAACCTCTAAAAGGTCCACGACCACTGATTCCAGGAAACCTGAGAGGGAGTCTGTAGGATTCCCCAGTCCCAGAGAGTTCTGCGACACTGCCTTTCACAGCGGCCTTGGACAGCGAGCTTCTCTAGCAGCCTTTTCGCTCTGGAGTTTGTATGGTGCTAGAACGAGCCTGCGGCAACCTGTCTGGGTCCTCCTAGGGGATTTTAAATGACTGTCAGGGCTTTGATTTGAAGGGCTCAGTTAGAGCTGTTATGAAATAACATCAGCTGAGGAAGTGCTCTCTACTCTTCTAGATAGACATTGTTGCATCATGTCTCACCAACTCATCAAAAGTGGCGGGCCAGAGATTACTTGAGTTTCTAATGATTCTACCTCATTGTAATCCTTCATTTGGTAGCAGACTTCCAGATTCCTGTTTTCTTCAGCTTGGTGTGTTTGTTTGTGTGTTTGTTTGAGGTACTGTGTATTGAACTGAGGTACTGTGTATTATTTCCATATCTGCTGGAAAAGTACATTTTTTTTTTTTTTTGTACTGGGAATCAAATTTAGGATTTGGCACTTGTCAGGTAGGTGCTTATGCTGCTGAGATCCATCCTCAGCCCTTTCAGCCTGGTTTTTACAGTTCTTTCTAATCTTGATACCTTTTTTGGTGTTTTTTGTTTTTGATTGGAGGCTTTTCTGAGTGTAGTTCAGGCTGGTCTTGAATTCACAGGGACCCTCCTGCCTCTACCTCCCAAGTACTGAAATTACATGTGTGTGACACCATGCCCATTTCTGATACTGTTACATTCTGGCATCCTTCTGCCTCTTAAGATGTCTCTCAGTCAGAATAAAAGTTTCAGTATCATTGGTTTACTAAGAAGAATTCAATTTTGAGTTTGAAAAATCATTCACAGTTTTTAAAGAATATTTTAATTTCTTGCAGTATTGTAGTTTCTGCATTTTGGCAGCCTTTTAAAGATTTATGCTTTTAATCAGAAAAAATAGAAGTTGTTGTGACTTTTTCAGTAATCTAGATTGATAGAGAAGTACTTGTCACTCAGTGCTGGTTACCACAAAATAGTTCTCTGTAAATACTAAGGTTATTAATATATCTATTGTTTTCTTTTAACATTATTTGTCGTTTTTCCCTAAATTATTTCCACAAGAACCAAAACAAGGATCAGTGATTTAGCTCATTAATGTAAGCACCCCAATCTCTGGTACCCAAAAAAAGGAACGAGGGGAGTCTACTGGTCTGGGGATTTAGCTCAGTGGCACAAGCACCTGCCTAGCATGCACAAGGTCATGAGTTTGATCCCCGGTTCCAAAAAAAAACAAAAAACACCAAAACCGTTTACTCTGCCAGTCCCAGAATACCTCAAAGAAAACTGAATTTAATGAAGGATATGGACAAAGTGAGGGATGTGGTTCAGATGCAGAGAATTTTGGCTGACATCCACAAGGCTGTGAGCTCCATCCTTAGCACCATTAAAAACTAATTATTTTGAGATCATATATATATGTATGTCATATATACTTCTTTCTTAAAATTAGGAGTACATTATTACTTTCAGAGAAGCATGCTCCCAAAATACATTGGCTTTTAGAGAAAACTTATTTTTAAAAAGTATTTTACCGTTTTTTTAACTTTGCTGATGACATTACATCATTGCCATCCTCACTGGAAATCACCCTGTGTGACATCTGGCACAATTGTCAGAGGAAACCACAGTTTCAGTTGTGTGAGGGAAATTACCTGTGCACTTGAATTCTGTCCCAGTTTTTAGTTACTGCTGGCAGGGTTAAATGTAGAATGAAAAATGGCTGTTTCCATTTTGTTCTCTTGCTAAAACAGAAGAGAGAATAGGGCAAAACTATTGACTTCATAGGTTTTTAGAAAAAGAATACCAGTTCTTTCTAATTCTGGAGGCCTTAGTAATGTTAACTAGAATTTTAATGTTTATGAATACTTTGATGTTGGTATATGGTAATCTTAAAACTATGCTAAAATGCGCCTCTCATCCAAACATCCTGCCTGCCTTTGTGATGATATCCTTCTCTTAGCCAAAATAACAAGCTAACTAGAATTTCACTATTCAATATCCTTCTCTGGCAGATGTTTTCTGGCAAACGCCTTCCTGCATTTATGAATTTCCTCTCAAGAAGCAAGAGAACACCTGCAGGAAGTGAATCAAGATACGGAACAGAGGAATAATCACCTGCTTTAAAAAATAAAGTACTGTTGAAAAAGATCATTTCTCTCTATTTGTTCCTAGGTGTAAACTTTTAATAGTTAAATGCAGAATTCTGTAATCATTAAATCATTAGTAGTTAATGTTTGAAAACACTCTTGCAATCAAGTCTGTGATGTATTAATGCCTTATGTATTGTTTGTAGTCATTTTAAATAGCATGAACCATGTCCCTGTAGTCAGTAGGGGGCAACCTTGCTTTACTCACCCTCCATCTCAAGAACATGAATTTGGAATTAAGGATTTTAGTGTAAGATATAAAGCTGGTTATTTTCAAGGGGTTTTCTCAAAAGGTAATACTTTCGTTACGATTGTATCTCTGCTCATAATCCATATTTGCTGTTAAAATTAATCTAGAAATTTATTCCATTGTACTATGTGTGAATACCTGGAAGCAGAATCATAGTGTGAAATACATTTAAGGTGTGCTCAAAAAATACATTCTTAATTGGTAAATAAGCATTAATTTTTTATAGTCTATATTCAAAATTTTAAAGTATCTCATTGTTCTGTGGTGTATACCTAAAGAAGAATTTTAAAGTATCTTATGTTCTGTGGTGTATACCTGAGGAAGATACCTCAAAAAGCGATGTTACTGCATAAATGGAAAGGACAAAGACAAGTACAGTGTAATTACTAAAATGTAATTCTTGACAGTCTATATTTCCTGACATTGCATAATTAAGAGTCTTAAAAGATTAAGTAACTAGGAGCAAAGAAGGAACTAGCTTGGAATTTTTGAGATGATCCCTAACATACTGTACTACTTGCTTTTACAATGTGTTAGCAGAAACTGATAAATTAGAAATGTAGAATGATGTACTTTATACCCAAGTAGCAGTTCACCTTGGTTTGCTATATTAAAACTGTAAATACAACAGAACATTAATAAATGTTTCTTGTGTAGCACCTTTTACTGTAGATTAGTGTTTAATTTTTTTGCATTTAATTTTGTTTGCATTTATTGGTTGCCAAAACAACTTCTTATGAGAATTATTCAATGAATATTAAAAAACTGATCTTGGGTCAGTTTTATTTTTTTCAGCATAGGAGGTTCCTTTCTTATGTGTCCTACTCCATACATTCCTAAAAAACCGTTTGTCAGCATTGGTTCTGCAAAAGATAGGAATGAAAATAAGGAGGAATTGTGCAGACTTTCATTCTGGAATTCCTGATTGTGCTTTACTCTGTAGACATGATCTTTTAGTGTTTTCTGCACATTCTCTACATTTATCCCTTTTCTCAGTTGAGACTAGCCTGAGGGCCAGGGTGGTGGCATTGCATACCTGTGGTCCCAGCCCTTGGGAGGCTGAAGCAAGAGGATTGCCATGAGTTCGAGGCCAATGTGAACTACATATTAAGACCTTGTCTCAAAAAAAGAAAAAGAAAACAAATAGCCTGTGGTTTGAGTCCATATATACCCAGTTGAGGCTAAAGATTCTTCATCTGGATCTCCATTCTTGTTTGTATTAAATTTAGAGACCAGTGGTTCTTAAACTGAGTTATTTGATTCCCCCCCCCATATTCCATTTAAATTATGTTTGAAGAAAAATGCAGCAGAATAATCAGATTGCGTGATTAAAAGCACAAATCAGCACGAGTTTGGTGTGATAGCTATAGATGTTCATTAATCCGATACTCATGAATATCTGTAATCACATGACCATCCAGAGTCAGCATAGGAAGTATTTTGGGATATCAGTATGTAATGCACAGAAAAGAAGGCTGTTTGACAGCCACATAGGAAAACCAACCTCCTGGATTTCTATAACAGTATATTCTTGCTTAAATGTTATTTATAATAGAAAAGTCCCCATGCCCATCCTGGGCAAGGATGACCCTAGTACCTTTAAAGTAGGCCACATTCCAAGCCCCTTTTCTCTTACTTTTAAGTGTTGATAGACAAGATCTTGCTGAATTGCCCAGACTAGGCTTGAACTTGTGATCCTCTTGCCTCAGCTTCTCAAGCAGCTGGGATTGCAGGCATACACCAGTGCACCTGGCAGGATGGAGTTTTACAAAAGCTTCTGAAGATTTTTGAGTTAGATTATACCTACAGTAAAGTTTAGAAATTTTCGGAACCTATAATACCAAGTTCCAGAATGAAAAGACCTCTAGCAATCTAAATAAATGTGGACTCATAGAGCAGAGAGAACTATTTAAATTACCTTGCAGAATACAAGGGTCCTAAATTCATTCTAACATTGTAAACCAGCTCTGAGTTTGTTCCTTTGATCCATTATTTGGTTTTGTATAATCGGCGAACTGAAATACTCAGAATTAACTGTTTGTATGCATTTGGTGACCCATTGAATCTGTTAAACATAAACCTATAGTATGATATACTTCTAAAGCAATCAAGTGGTGGCACATGCTGTAACCCCAGCACTCAGCAGGCTGAGGCAGGAAGATCTCTGAGTTCAGAGCCAGAGATCTACTACATAATGAACTGAAGTCTAACCTGAACTACATAGCAAAACACTGTCTCCAAAAGCAAAAGACAGTGGGGGTGGGGGCGCAAGCTGTCAGTAAGATATTTCAAGTCTTTTGAGGTATGTAAAATCAGGATTGTACATTACCTAGACTGTTTGCCATTCACTTCTCATTTTACTCTGCGTTTTCTTTCTTTCCTTGATAGGCTATTCTTGTTACTGTTAAGATGGAGGTCTCACTGTTGCTTGGGCTGGTCTTGAACTCCTGGGTTCAAGTTTCTGAGTAGCTGGGACTGTAGGTACACACCGCTGCCTCTGGAGTAGTTCACAGTTCACTCTTTCAAGTACAAGGTGGGTCTTTATAATAAATTACTTGGGAAGAGGAACTTCTCTTAAGAGAAGATTTTGGAATAAACCAGATTGAATACTGAGCTACAGACAGCTAGGATTTACTCATTATGAAAGAAGTTGCTGTGTCTCTTGTCATTTAATTTGTATTTATGTAGCTACCCCTCCGCAGAAAACTCGAGATTGTTTTGTGTGGAAATAAAAGGCATTATTAAAGTTTACTTATTGCTGAGTGTGGTGGCTTGCTCCTATAATCCTAGCACTCTGGGAGGTTGAGGCAGGAGGATGGAGAATTCAAGCCTGGCCTGGACAATCTAGTAAGACCCTGTCTCAAGAACATTTTTTTTTTCATTTTTTTAATTGGTACTGGGGATCAAACGCAAGACCGCCTGCTTGCAAGGCAGGCACTTACGCCACTGAGCTAAGTCCCCAGCCCCCTAAGAACATTTTTAAAAGGACTAGCGATGTAGCTCAGTGTGAAGGCCTTGAGTTCAATCCAAGGCAGCATTGGGGGGTTGTTTATTAAGAACTAGGTGGTGCACACCTGTGATCTCAGCACTTATATGACTGAGGCATGAGAAGCCCCACAAATTCGCGACCAGCCTGGCAACAGTGAGTGTGAGTTCAAGGCCAACCTGAACAACATAGCGAGACTCTCTCAAAAAGCCAAAAAAATTAAAAATAAAAATAAGGCTGGGAGTAGAACACTTGCGTAGCATGTGCAAAACCCAGAGTCAGTATTTAGTAAAGAAAGAAAAAAAAGAATAGAATTTAGGAAAGAAAAAAAAAGAATATTTTATTTGGGGTTTAGCAAAATAAATGGGTTTTGGGTTTTTTGCAGTGCTGGGGATTGGATCTAGGTCCTTGCGCATGCTAAGCAACTGCTTTACCACTGAGCTACATCCTACCCCAGAAATTTTGTTTATAAACAGAATTTTTAGTGAAATAAATATTTGCTTCCTTCCCTCCTTTCATTTCCTTTCTTGTTAAGAATAAGTTTATGATTTGAGCTCTGGCTCACCATGAGTCATTAGCCTCAACCATTATGGTCTTAAACTAAAATACACTTAAATGTAATGGCTGAAATTAGAAATAACTACTGATGTGGAGTATCAGAGCCAACAGAATTGACAACTCAGTTTGAGTGGTTGCTTGATGTGAGAAGTTTCTGGATGAGAACGAACAGAAAAAAGACCCGAGAAGAAGCCTTAGCTCTGCTGCTCTTCCCATTATGCTGACCTTTTTGAAGGCTAACACAGTGGATACTGACACCAGCTACAAGCACACACACGCTTGCCCAGGTTCTTCTATACTGGTTATCAAATTTTAACTTAATGCGTACCAGAAGTTGGCATAGAGCATTTTACCAAAAAAAATTATTTGGCCCCCCCCATTTACTCACTGTGGTCTTCATTGATTGTTAGAGGTGAATCTAAATAAGTTATGTGCAAAACGTAGTTTAGTAATTTGTAGGTGCTATCAGTGTAGGACCTTATTTTTCAGCTAGTTGCAAGATTTTCACTTTTCAGGCTGTGAAGATTTGAGGAAATGAGGTTATAATGATATAAAATATTTCCATAGACTGTTTATATATGTTTAAACATTTGTTTTATATATTCTTAAGCCTAAAGAGTACTTGTAATTTATAGGGTAGTTGAGGTGAATTAAATTGGAGCCTTTATTAAGCAGTATTAAAATACTCTTTTAACTGTCCCTTTGGCATAAACCTGTAAACTATTGCATATATGTATGATCGTACTTTTATAATACCCACAAAAAGTGTTCCTCAACAAGTGGCCTGTGCATATTGGTTATATGTAGGCTCTACTGCTTAGGTGGAAGACATCACAAACAAATACACCAGAATCCAAAAGGGGAGAGTTAGTTTTAAGTTGAGAGTAAAGGGGGTTTTTAGGAGGAAACAGTGGTTACAGAAATTGGTCTTATGTCAGTCTCATTCCAAGAAGTTATTTTATAGCCCAGTTCATTGTTTCACCGACAGCTTTATGGCCTATGGAATGAGGAGCTTTTATGAAAAAGACATGAATGGAGAGCTGTCTTCTTGAGCCAGTTTCCCTGTCTATAAAATCTGAAATAGTCTGTTTATGGTAGCATTTTAGTCCCTCACACATGGCAATTATCCTCAGAATTTGCCACTTGGAGAAGGTATATATTACTGAGGTTTTGGTTTAAGTTGGTACTTTTATCTTTTTTTTTTTTTTTTTAATTTAAGGAGAAAAGAAAAAAAAACAGTGAAAGGGTACAAGTTATACAGGTTTACAGAAGAAAAAAATGAACAGTAGGAAATCATTAGTTAATGGATTACATATTGCCATCTTAGAAATAATTGTTCAAGTCACAAAATTAAAGCTTGTAGAGTGGACATTCCAACAATGATACTGCAAACAGTTCTGTTCAATGATCCAATAAAACTGTGATATCATTTTCTATCTTATACACTTAAATATACATGCAGTTATATAGTTTAGAGCACTTTATTTTCCTCTCTTTTGTACAATGACTATTACACATTTTGGGTTTCATTGCTCCCACGGTTCTTATTGCTTTTTTGGAAGAGAGTAAAACCAAATGAGACAGAACAGAATCGGTCAAGTCAAATGGGTGGACATAATAGATAATATAAAAACATAATACAAGGCGATCAACAATGGTTACCATAATGCCTCCCGCTATCTCTTAATAGAATTGCCTATATCATTAGTTATAATACAATTGAACAAAACAGTAAAGAACAAAACCGACAAAACCAAAACATTGGAGACATTGTAGGTCTTCAAAAGTAGATAAAAGTCAACGAGAATGGGCGTTATAATGAATCTCATTATCTTCACAGCTGATGCCTAAACTTTCGAACCTGATACTATCCAGCAAAACAGAATAGGGGAACCTCAGTCAAAAACAAGATGGTGAGGGGCTGGGGATTTAGCTCAGTGGCATAAGCACCTGCCTTGCAAGCAGGCAGTCGTGAGTTCAATTCCCGGTACCGATAAAAAGGAAAAAGACAAAAAAAAAACAAAAACAAAAAAAACCCAAGATGGTGAGAGTAATACAGGGCTTCAAATCGAGATAATAGAAAGTCAAAGTGGGTTACTATATTATATCCTGCTA